CCCCACCAATTACACATCATCTTCCCATGGCACCATGATTTCTGACTTCAAAACCCTAGAAATTATAGGCTGAGGCCTCTACTGGTCCTGCACCGACATCGGGCCAGGCTGCTTCTGCAGGGACCTGTAATCCCAGCAACTCTTTATACTCAGCTTCCCTCCCAAATGCCAAGCTGTAAAACTAAATGACCTAAAAAATGTCTTTTGAAAACAGACAGGGTCACGGCAAGTAAGGGAAAACATCACATGCTGGCAACACTCTGCTCCCTCCACCTCCGCCGCACACACGCTGCTCTAGTTTAAAAAGGAGCAATAATCTCCGATTCTATATTTAAAGACAGTTAATAAGAGCTCAGAACCGAGAGGCCAGCTACACATCGGAGATGAACGCCCATATATCGGTTAGCTCCTCCGGCTTCATTTCCTTGCCACGCGCATTATAAAATGACGATGTTAGCAGATCCTCAACGATAGTCTTCTCATTACTCCACCCCCGCAGGCCACCGCAAGGTCTGTCTTATAATTCATGAGACAGACAGGCCTATGTCATCGCAGGTGCCAACTCGGGCCGCCTTTAATCACATGGATAAGCGCACCGATTTCAAGAGGGCTTCGAAAGCGAGCAGGCTGCAGAATGGGGGGACTCCAGTTCCTAGGTGGGATGCCAGTACCATGCATCTGCCCAAGCATGTAAGAGTCCATGGGGTCTCTCCATGCAGCTTCTTCCAGCTTAATATTTACCATTAGCTCTCTCTCGCCAAACACGGCCGTGTCACTCTAAAATAATTATTCCGTGTGCCTTTCTCCAGCCTGGTAACTGGAGATCACGCAGCCGCGGCAGGTCGTGTTTCGCCAGCTGCAACGGATACCGGGTGGCCGCTTACCTAGAAAGCGCCGGCAAATGGGTTGAAAGTAATGGGGCGAAGTGCATTTTGTTCCCGGCGGATCCATCTGGGTCATGGCCCGATCCCAGTGCTCCCGCTGTGATTTGCCCCGCTGGGCGAGCACCTGCAAGCCAAAGGTGCCGAGACAAAGAGCGAGGTTGGGCCCGCGGGAGGACGGGCGAGAGCAGAGAGCTTTAAAAAAAAAAAAAAAAAGAACAAATTGGACAATGTTTAGAATGTAGGGCCGGGCGCCTGCCGAGCTCTGCCGAGCCCTGCCGATGGCTGTATCTTGCTGCCTTTCACAGATACTCGTTACTTAATATGCTGCAGCTGCACAGATCCGGGCAATGGGCTGCTGACTTGTACAGAGTTCCTATCCCAGCACAGCCAAGATTGGCCAAACGAGTAGTCTTTGTCACAAAAATCAGAAAGATTTACTTTTATTTACTTTCTGGTTTGTGAGGCCCTGAGAATACTTCAGGCTCCACTCCCTGCCTCTGTTTGTAGTTCGCCCTTTTGTTACACGGGTTTTTCTTCAGCAACTGGTTCTTCTGCACCAGCTTTCTGCCCCTCTTTTTTTTTTTTTGGGGGGGGGGGGTGAAATTTTGAAATATAACTTAACCTGCGCGATTTTATCACATCTCCCACAACTTGGTCAATATTCCTCTTGACATTCAGTTTACTGGACATGGGTAACAACTGGGTAACAATCCCACAGTTCCTTTGGGGGGAGAAAAAAAAAAAAAAGATATGAGGAAGCTAATAGTTCTTGCAACTGCAAAAAAAGTTTGAGCCACACAAGCCAGCACATGAAAGGCTACAAAAATAAAGCTCAAATTCTCCTCTTATTGTTGCAATGACTTTAACGTCAAAACCCTGAGTGTTAAGCCCTCAGGTTTGGCAGTGCTGGGTAGACCTATGAGCAGGATACGTCTCACCTACTGGCTACTGAGGTGCACTGGCTGGAGAGTAGAGGAGGTGGCAGACAGGGTTACACCTGCCTTTGCAGACCTACACAAATGC